GTGGTGTGTTAGAGTCTGGGGCGGAGGAGGCGGTCACGGACGACGACGGTGACGGGAAGCGAGGACGAGGACGAGGTGGAGGAGGATGCCAGGAAGGACGAGACGGAGGAGGAGGAGGACGACGAGGACGACGAGGAGGTGCTTGGTGAGGGCAGGGATGGCCCGGAGCGAGGCGGAGCAGCACGCCGACGAGGGCCGACCGGCGGGCGAGGCCGGGTCGCTTGCGGTGATCCCAGCACGCGAAACATCGGGCACAAGCCTCGGAGGCGACGATCAGGGCGAGGCCGGCTCAGGGGTGGGCGGAAGACGTGTTCGCCGGGGAGCCTCGCTGAAGGCGTGGACCATCGGCGCCCTTGGGTACGCGTGCAGCTCTCCCATGGGCCATTCGCCCCCATCGCTGCCCTCGAGATCCGCTGCCGCCACTCTTTCCGTGAGGCCGTGAGGCTGCCCGCGCTGGAGGAGCACATCGGTCGCAGGATGGGGGCGTGTGGGTCTCGACCGCACGTGGCGGTGACCCTTCGTTAGGGTGGCCTTTGGTGAGGGCTCACGGGTTCTCCCCAATCGCTGCATGAGATGCGACAGCAGCGGCTTGCGCGCTCAGTTTGGGCCCCCATCGCGCCCCCCCTAGAGTCTCGCGCCACATGCTACTCTTGCCTGGGGTGACTCCTGCGTGTATCCGAGCCGATCCCTGGACACGATCCGCTGCCGCCAGTCCTTCCGTGAGGCTGCTCGTGCCAGAGGAGCGCCTCGGTCGCCCGCCCGGGTCGTGTGAGGCGCCCGCGCTTCGCACCCGGGGCGTCAACGAGGAGGCGAACAAGCTCTGCCGCGGCACCGAGACGAGGGACAGCGCGAGCAAGGCCGACAAGCTGGCGAAAGGCTGGGAGCAGCCTGTGCAGCACAAGCTCTTGTACCAGCACGAGCGCCCCGCGCGGAACGTGTCCGTGGGACCGCGTGCTCGCGGGATGGCGCCCGAGAGTCCAGACTGCGAGGGCGCGAGAACGGATACGGATGTGCTCGCAGCTCGAGAGGGAGGTCGCCCGGTCTGGAGCAGCACCTTGGTCCTCCGCTGGGGGCGTGTGAGGTGCCCGCGCTTCTCGGACGGGACCAGGGGCCAGGACGAGGACAAGTCCGTTCCAGAGCGTTCTGGAACGCTCTCGGAGCGTCCCGGAACGCCCTGAGAAGGCCGCGGCGGCCGTCCGGAGATTTCCGACGCGTGCTCACCAGATGGTGTCCTCGTCCTGGCTCCGTCTTGAGGAGGAGGAGGAGGAGGAGGAGGAGGAGGAGGAGGAGGAGGAGGAGCAGGATGGCCTCGCCTTGGGTGGGGCCTTGCCCTCCTCCTCCGGGCGGCGCGCCAGCGGTGGCGCGCGGGGGCGCCAGCGGAGCTGCGCCTCGCGCCCCCGCGTGGCCCCGGGCGCGGCGCCAGGCCCCTGGCGAGCGTCGCTGCCGCCCCGGGCAGGGGCCACGCCGGCCCGGCCGGCGCGGTTCGAAGCCGCGGCGCGGCGGCGAGCGACGGGGGGGGAGGCTTAAGTCTCGGGCGAAGAGAACTATGCACATGCACCGATCCTGGCAAGGCCCATCTTTGACCCAGGATCGGTGCATATGCCTTCCTGGCCAAGGTAGGAGGGCGTATGCACCGATCCTGGGCTCAGGATGGGCCTGGCCAGAATCGGTGCATGTGCATAGTTCTTTTTCCTCTAAAGTCGGGCCTGTCCCCCTACAGAGGGATTTTCGACGAAGAGAAAAAAAATACCCCCAAGCTTGTCCAAAAAAATAGTCCAAACATAGTCTGGGGACTATTTGTTGAGCATTTTTTGTCTGCCATTTTGGGGCATTTTTTTGGGTATTCTTTATTTGTCGTCGAAAATCCCCCTGTAGGAGACCCGCCCGACTTAAGGGGAGGCGCGACGGGGCGGGCCTCCGCGGAAGGCTCGGCAGCCCCCCGGCCGTGTGAGAGGTGTGCTGCGCCCCCTCCCCGAAAGCACAGACCCAGACATGATCGCGTCGTAAAAAATTCGGGACGGAGGTTTTTCATGATTTTCGGCCTCTAGAGGCCCTCGCCGGGCCTCGGGACCGTCAAAAAACGGCTCAGGATGAAAAACCGGCCCCAGGGAAAGGGTCTGGACTTCCAGGGACGCCGTCCTGAAAAAATCAGGACGTCACATGTCTGGGGAGGGCTTCGCGGGAAGGCCGGGGGGGCTTCTGAGAAGCCCCCCCCGCCTTCTGAGCAGGCCTTCTCCTTCTCGCTGCCCCCCCCTTGCTCGCCGCCGAGTTTCGGTCTGGCGTCATTCCGACCTACTCATGCCCTGATGCGCACGTGTTGAAACCCACTGCGTGCCCTGGTCAGCACGCCTGAACGCCCGTGTCGGCCCACGCTCTGGCGAACGTATCGCGCCAGATCTATGTTTCAATCTGCGTGCTGAGTTCCGTGTCAACACGCTGCGGGCTGCGTTTTGCGTATCGGGGTAGCCAAGTACCGACCTGATTCTGCCCAGACCTTGCCCCCCAAAGGTCCCCAGGGGCCCCTCTGGGGCCCTCTGGGCCTCGCGAAGGGTGCTCTGGAAGCCATCTGCGCCTCCCTGGGAAAGCTGGGTCATCTTGGGCCAGGGTCTCGGCGGCGAATTCCGAACCCTACCCTCGCCGATCACCGATTCGGGCAACTCGATGGGCGTTGGGGGTAGGGTTCGGAGATCGTCGAACACGTGGCGAGATCCGAACCCCACCGCCGCCTCCTACCGACTCAGGAGAGCCGAAGGCTGGTCGAGGTTCTGGGGTCCGGGCCACGTCCAGCAGCGCCCGATCAAGGGACCCAGCTCCACGCCCGGCAGTGCCCGGGCCACGTCCGAAAAACTTCAACTCGTGGGGCCAGGGCTAAAACGACGCGAAGATCGGGACAAAATCGGATCGGGATAACTCGAAATCTCTGAGAATCGGCGGGTTTGGAGGATGTATTGGGCGCCGCGGCCGCTCCAGAGCGTTCCGGAACGCTCTGAGAGCGCTCCGGAACGCTCTGGAGCGATTTATCCCGATCCTAGCCCTGTTTTACCTTCTGAGCAGGCCTTCTCCTTCTCGTTGCCCCCCCCTTGCTCGCCGCCGAGTTTCGGTCTGGCTTCATTCCGACCTAATCATGCCCTGATGCGACCTAATCATGCCCTGATGCGCCTGAGCGATTTATCCCGATCCTAGCCCTGTTTTAAGGGCCACGGCCAGCAGCGCCCGATCGACGACCGAAAGGCCAGCGGCCCGATCGCTCTTGGGGCCGGGGCCCGCCTCGGCCCGCTCCCACACCACGACGACGACGACGACGACGACGACGACGACGACGACGACGACGACGACGACGACGACGACGACGACGACGACGACGACGACGACGACGACGACGACGACGGCGACGACGACGACGACGACGACGACGACGACGACGACGACGACGACGTTGGCGGCGGCGGCGGCGGCGGCGGCGGCGGCGGCGGCGGCGACGAGCTGCGGGACCGTGCCGCCCGCCAGGACGACGAAGAGGGCTGCTCGCAGAGCTGAGGCCCAGGTGCCCAGCCCGGGCGCGGCGCGGCGCGCACCGCAGGGGCCGGCAGGGAGGTTGGGCCGTCTGCTCGGTCCCTCCTCGTCCCCGCCCTCGTCCTCGGCCTCCTCCCGCTCGTCCCTGCCCGGCTACCCCTTTCTCCTCCCCCTCCCCCTCTGGCCCGCCCCCCTCTCCCATCTCCCCCGTCCTGCTCCCCCTACCCGTCGATCCCTCCTCCCCCTCCCCATTTCCCCTCCTCCATCTCCTTCTCCTCCTGCTCTTCCTCCTCCTCTTCCTCCCGTCTGCTCCTACTCCTCTTCCTCCTCCTGCTCCTGGGCTTGCCCCTATGCCTCCGTTTCGGTTTCCTTATAACTGACCATTCCTCGTCGCACCTCCAGCAGTGTCGTCTGCGATTGCCTCACCAGCCAGGGCTATGTTATCCGTAAGGGCTTCGCCCCCTGCCGCCGGCCCCCTTTCTCGGAGAATGCGCTATGCAAGAGCTATGTCATGAGACCTGGGCGCTGTCGTGAAGTCGTATCGGAACTTCATGCAAGGCCGACTCGTAATGAGCAAAACCAATTGATGACCAGAGGGGTTATCACAACTGGCGATTGGCAAGACGTCGTGACACTGCCGATCTGCGTGAGGGGTGCCACCGGATGTCAGAAATTTGGCAAATCCCATTTGTTTTTGGACCCTGACCCCGCCGATCTGCATGAGGGGTGCCACCGAATTTCAGAAATGTGGCAAATCCCATGTGTTTTTGGACCCTGACCCTGCCGATCTGCGTGAGGGGTGCCACCGAATGACAGAAATGTGGCAAATCCCCGGTGTTTTTGGACCCTGACCCCGCCGGTCTGCGTGAGGGGTGCCACCGAATGTCAGAAATGTGGCAAATCCCATGTATGTTTTTGGACCCTGACCCCGCCGATTTGCGTGAGGGGTGCCAGCAAATGTCAGAAATGTAGCAAATCCAATTGGTTTTCGAGCCCTGACCCCGCCGATCTGCGAGAGGGTTGCAAATCCCTTGTGTTTTTGGACCCTGACCCCGCCGATTTGCATGAGGGGTGCCAATTTTTTCCCACCCCAGCAATTCAGAGCACACGCTCAGGTCGTGCTAAACCTGCCCGTTTGGGCCTCCCCCCCTCGCGCGGTCCATCAACAAGGAACAGTAAGCAGAAAGAAGCAGAACTGTAACAGTAGAAGCTGGAAGCTGCAACTGGCACAGGAAACTGCGAACCTTCGTTCTACAGCCTGGTGGCCCCACAAGGGGGCCGGCGGATTATGATGATTATTATTACGGCTGGAGGGCGTCTTGTTTTCCTCAGAATGAGGCTCGCGCGCTGACGACGCGCACACTCGTTAAACATGATCCAGCGGCTGTGCGGATGCGGTGCAAATGGCGACATCACGTAAGACCCTTGCGCCGCCGATCCGGAGAGCTCCCGATGTCTTTTTGTGGCCGTGGGCTGGCCGTTGGGTCAGGGGCTGGCTGGCATTGTCGTGATGCATGGCTGGCCGTGGGCTGGCATTCGACTTCTTGTGTGACTGTCCAGTGGCGTGTCCGTTGGGGGACTATGACCTCCGGGGGTGGTTGCTTTGTGGGCTGTGGGCCCTGTGTGCGTGTGGTTGGCTTCGGGGAGCCGACCCCCTCTGCTACGACGCCGACGCACTGACAGCTTTCCTGTCAGTCAGGACGTACGGCAGACGAACGCGGCTCAGCTTTCCGGCTACCGTAGGCCCGCCAACCCCAAACCTGGAGCGGCCGCGCGCGGCTCAGCCTCGTCTGAGCGCGTGGAGCGGACCCCACGCACCGACCTGGAGCTCAGGAGAGGTACAGCCAAGGACTCTGCCGGCCCCAGCCGCCACGGGGCACCGCTGGTTGTCGACTGGGGTGAGCAGCGAGAGGATCCAGCCAGGGATGCCATCAACCAGCCCCCGGCGGGCGCCAGCCCCGGAGGTGCAGCTGGCTGGCTCAAGCCCCGAGCCTGACGATGGCAAAACCAGGGACGCCAGCCCCAGCAGGAGCCTCCCCCTAGAACGGGGAAAGCAACCGCAGCGCCAGTGCACCGCCTGCCTCCCCACACGGCGGCCGCCCCGACGATCCCGCCGGAGACTCGGACGGCGGATCGCGCGCAGGAGCTGGGTTGCGGGAAGTGTACCGCCCCACGGACAGGCCTACAGTTTCTGGGATGCGCTCGGGACTTGCCCTGTGCGCCCACATCGGTGACCGCATCTTCACTAGGGACGATATAAATGACCAGCGAGCCGCCTGTTGGTACACGCAGGCCGGTGAGCCAGGGGAACGCCTCCTCCCAGACGCTGGCCAGGGGATGGTCCTAAGGCCAGTCGACGAGGTTCACCATGGATAGCACCTGTGCGTACGCATCGGGGGTTGAAGCGATCCCTACCGACCCCCGTGATGCGCCTGAGGGTCATCGCAGCGTTGCGGGCCCTCTCTGCTGAAGGCCTGCGTAGGGCCTCGGCGTCGCCAGGCGGGCGCCTCGGGCGGAAGCGATCGCTCGCGAGGCGAACGCGCCAGACCCGGATGGTCCACTGAGATGCGACCGCCTCTACCCGCTCGGGGCCGCGGGCAGGTGCCCCTTCGAACTCGTCGTCTGGGGCCCCGCCCCGAGGGCCTCGTCGGCAGGCGTGGAGGCACCCAGCGCCTGCCGCCATGGAGCGCTGGATCCACTCCTTGAAGCCCCTGCCCACGGAGGGCCGCGAAGGCCGAGCCCTCCGCCTCCGCCTCATCGCGCGCCCACGATGCCCACTCCGCCAGGGGCAGGAGGTCAGGGCAGTCGGCCGCCAGCGTCACCCGAGCAGCCCACAGCGCGCCCAGAGGCTGGCCCGTCGCGTTGCGCGGCCCTGGCGCAGTGGCGCGATGGGAGCCGCTGCGGCTCCAGGGCCGTTGCCGCTGTGGCTGCTGTCGTCGCTGGGGTCGTCGCTGTCGGGTGGGGGACCACCCTGCTCGCGCATGAAATGTTTGACCGACTGGATGAAGCCGAAGTGCTCGTCGACGGCCTCGGCCCAGGCGTCGGGGTCGGCGGGCTCCAGCTCGCTCACGCGCCGATGGTTCTCCGCTCGGATCGGCTCCGTGTCCGTCCAACCCTCCAGCTCCACTGCTCGCGCCCAGCGTGCCGCGGCACGTTCAGCAGACGGCCTGGGCGGCCCAGAGCTGCCGTCGCCTCGATCTCCCGCGGGCGCCCGCGCCGCGCCCGCCGCGCTGCCGCCTGCGCCGCCTGCGCTGCGTGCGCCCGGCGAGGACTGGAGTGAGATCGCGCTGATACCCCTAGCAGATGTGGCTCCCGCTCCGGCCCCAGATGCGCGGGAGGCGACGCGAGTGGCGTCGCCGCGCTGGGCCCGACGGGCGGAGCGAGCCGCTGCCGGCGCACTGCCTGAGGATGCGGCCGCTGCCAGCGCCGCGAAGGAGCTGGCTGGGGGCTCGAGCGGGGCCACGCGGGCCTCCTCCGCAGATGCGGCTCCCCGCCCAGCCCCTGGTGCAGATGACGCGGCCTCCTCGCCCTCGCCCCGGGGCTGCTGTGCCACCCCGTCGCTCTCGCACTGACTGAGGCGAGCGCAGGCGTAGTGCGTGCACATGTCCATCCACTCCGCGCGGTCGCGGGCGCGGTTGGGGGCGTGGATGTGCGGGGGCCGCCCTCGGCCAAGGCTTGGCAGCGTGCGCCGCGCGCCTTGCGCGTCAATCTCAAGGGCGCCCCGCTCGCCTTCCGCTGCTTCAGGGGCCAGAGCAGCGCGCAAAGCGGGCGGGGAAGGCGCCAGGGGTCGGGCGCGGCTCCCTCCCCCAGCCTGGCCCCGCCAGCGGCTCCCGATCGTGATGGCTGGGCTCCAATGTTGGAGCGCCGCAGGGAGGCCCAGGGAGTGGTCTGCCGTAGCCCCCATCGCTCTTCCAGCCGGCGCCTGGACTCGCGGTGGTTGTCGACCGTCCCGTGGATCTCCTCCTCCCAGCCATCGCGGACGATGAGGCCGAGCTGCCAAAGGACGCGGGCGAGCTCGAGCCTGCCGGGGGCGCCTCGGCGCCAGGCTCCTGAGCAAACGCCCCACGCAGTCTACAGGTGGCCCTCGAAGTCCTGCGCCAGGCCCGCGGCGACGCGCGTCGGCTGGCCCAGCATGCGGAAGCTGTGCGGCGCGCGCTTCTCCATCCACTCCGCCTCGTACTCCACGTAGTTGGGGTTCCTGGGCTCGGAGACCCAGCTGCGTGCTCGGCGTCCCAGGGCACGCCTGCAGCGCTTGAGCGCCTGCGCCTGCACGCGCTCCGCCTCACGCCGCTCGGGGTCTTGGTCGAGCTGGGAGGCCGTCGGCCCCCCGTTGACGTCCGAGGCGGGTGCCCCAAACAGGAGGCGCACCTGGGTGAAGTAGTCGCTCACGTGCATGGGCTTCTTGCCCTGGTAGCTGGCCTTGGGGCCCTTGATGGGGCGAGCCCGTGCCTGCAAGTCGTAGCCTCGCCCACGGTAGAAATCGGCGTCGTCGGGGTCGATCTGGCATGTCCAAACGATCTCGTCCTCGACCCCCTCGCACAGGTCCTGACAAGCCATCCCGAAGCCGCTCCTGCAGGTGGCCCGAGAGGGCGGAGCCTGGGGAAGGTCATGGGGCGCTTCACCCTGTGCGACTGCCCCAGGTCGCCGCAGCACCTCAAGGAAAGCTTCCTCCCTCCCTCCTCCCTTCCCTCCCTTCCCTCCCTTCCCTCCCTTCCCTTCCCTCCCTTCCCTCCCTTCCCTCCCTTCCCTCCCTTCCCTCCCTTCCCTCCCTTCCCTCCCTCCCTCCCTCCCTCCCCCTCTCCCTCTCCCTCTCCCTCCCCCTCCCCCTCCCCCTCCCCCTCCTGCACGGGCTGGCGTAGCCCCTCGCGGTCACGTCGAGGCGCTTGCATGACGCCACCCTGTCCAGCAGCTCCGCGCCGACGATGAGCCAGTCCAGCTCGGACGGCGCCTTGGACAGGGCATGCTGGCAGGTGCCCATTCCCGTGTCGACCGCGTGGCCGCCGACCTTGCAGAGCCAGTGCCCGCTCGTGGAACCTGTCGGGCTCGACGTGCCAGTCGCCAGCGAGGACCCACGGCCTGCCCGTGCGCTCGAGGCGCACGCCGACCTCCTGCAGGACGGTCTTGCTGCTCTCGTCGACGTCGTCGTTGTCCAGGTTGACCGACCTGAGCAGGAGGCCGCCTAGCAGCACATTGCTGACGTGGGTGACCGTGGCCCTGCCTTGGGAGACATGGCAGCTCTGCTTGTCGCCGTGATCGCCGGGGCCGCACATGCCCCGCGCCGTGCGAACAGCGACACCCGTGCCGCCGCCGACTGCCCGCTGCTGAGAGGCGCTTGCTGCTGCGACGCCTGGGGTGAGGACAGCGCTCCAGCCGACCTGGCGGCACCATTGCTCCTGCTCCGCGGCGCGGTAGTCGTTGAGGCGGCGCTCCTGGCTGCAGAGCGCGTCGCCCAAGTGCAGCTGCGCGACGATGTCCTGCCGGGGGTCCTGCTGCTCGCCGAGGAGCGTGGTGAGGCCCCCAGCCGCTGCCGCCGCCGCGGTGAAGGTGGGCTGGCCACCCGCGCTTCCCCCTTCTCCTGGGCCCCGCCGAGCGAGGTTCCTGGCGGAGTTTCTGGGCGCGTGCCTTGCGCTGTGCCGCTGCCTCGGCCGCGGGGTCAGCTGGCCGTGCTGCGACGTCGTCGCCATCGCCGCCTGGGGCGGCCTCCTCCTCCGCGGTGGCCTCCTCCACGAGGCTGTCGACGATGCTGCCCAGGTCCGCTTCCTCCAGGAGGTCCTGCTCGTCGCCGCCGTCGCGTTCCGCCGCTGCTCCTGCCGAGGCGACCTGGTTTGCCAGGCGTCGCGGTTCGGACACTGGCTCCTTCTATCGTGCAGCGTATCCAGTGCTGAGCATTCCTGAGGCTTGGTCGAGCGCGGCCAGGAAGGCTGCGGCGCGCTCTCCCTCTCTGAGTGGAGCAGCGGGGGCCGCTGCCGATGCAGCTGCTGCTCCTGCACCAAGGGCGCCTTCGTGCGGAGCTCCCTCACGCTCTCGACGATGCTTGACCAGGAGGTTGTCGATGAGGGCCTGTAGCTCCTTCTCCGTGGTCTTGCTCTGCTCGAATTTCTCTCCCAGCTCGAGCTTGTAGGCCTGAAGGTTCTCGATCTCCGATGCGGCGGCCGAGATCTTCCGCTCCAGCGCCTCCCTGGTGCTCTGCTGGTTCCGCTGCTTGCGTTCCAGCTCGCTGAGCTGGACGGAAGTGGGCTTCTCCTTGGAAAGCTCGTGGTCGAGCTTGTTGGCCTCTGTGCGCTTGGCCGCGAGGATCTCTTCCGCACCTTCCACACATTCGAGCTGTTTGATTTCATTTCTTAGCTTCCAAAGCCGACGGACGCGTTCATCCTTGCTCGGCGGCTGCTGACGTTCTGCTGCAGCGCCAGCGCCGCCACCTGAGCCTGGGGCCTGCGTGCCGCTCTCGAGCTTCTTGACCTTCCTGCGCAGCTGGCTGAGCTCGTGGCGTCCCTTGGCGTCCAGTCGTGACATGCCGCTGCACCATGCGCCCGCTCCAGATCCCTGCTCCCACCAATCCCGCAGCTCCGGCAGACGTGCCTGGAGCCCCAGTTCTTCTTGGCTCCGCACTGGGGGAAAGCCCAGGCGTTGGGCTGACTGGCCGCGCTGCCGCCTCCGCCACCGCCTGGCCGAACGGTGCCTCGTCGTCCTCCTCTGCTGCCGCCTTTGCCGCCGCAGCCGTGCGCGGCGCGGCACCTCTAGCACCACCTCCATCTGCCACTGGTCGAGTCCGCGCGAGCTGGGCTCCCAATCGGGCGATTGAGGCCGGGAGTCGGAACAGTTATGGATGTGAAAGAATTGCGGCCGCGAACGCCTCACTGAAAGCTTGGTCGATTTGGAATATGACCCATGCAGTGACGCGACGGCTATAGCCAACCACATGGGACCAGACATCTGCCCTGGTCGCGCCATCTTGAGCACAAAAGGGCTACGGCATGATGATGCTGATACTGATGATGATGGTGATGATGATGATGATGATGATGATGATGATGATGATGATGATGATGATGATGATGATGATGATGATGATGATGATGATGATGATGATGCTGATGCTGATGCTGATGCTGATGCTGATGCTGATGCTGATGCTGATGCTGATGCTGATGCTGATGCTGATGCTGTTGCTGATGCTGATGACGATGACGATGACGATGACGATGACGATGACGGTGAGGATGAGGATGAGGAGGAGGAGGAGGAGGATACTAAATATGATGGTGATGGTAATGATTACGATGACGGTGATGATGAGGAGGAGGAGGATGAGGAGGAGGGGGAGGAAAAGGAGGCATGAGGAAAGAAGAGAGGGGAGGAAGAAAAAGGACGGAGAGGAGGAGAAGGAGGATAAAGATGAAGAACAAGAGGGAGGAGGAGGAGGAGGAACAGGAGGATGATGATGAGGAGGAGGAGGAGGAGGAGGAAGAAGAGGAAGAGGAGGAAGAGGAGGGGAATGAGGAGGAGGAGGAGAAGGAGAAGGAAGTGGGGCCTGAGCACCAACATTACCACAGCCTCCTCGCCCCCCCGTGCCGTAGCCCCCCCTCCCCAGCACACCACCTGAGAGACGTTAAAGTCGTGTACGGTAGGGTCGCGTCGGGTCGACCAGCAGCGACCCCGCTTCTGGCGTTCAACGTTGAACGCCGCTGGCGACCTAGAACGGTCGACGTTGAACGATCTGACGTTTCGGAAACGGCCGATCGTTCAAGGTTACACGATCCCCGCAGCGTCAGGAACCGACGCCAGAGTCGACACGACACGAACTCGCCGTAGCATGGTGGTTGGGCTGCGCAGCACAATCGTGAGCAAGCGAACGTGTTGGAGGGTGCGCGTTGAGCTCGACCCTGTGGGGAGCACCGGTGTGCGCCTCGAGTGAGGCAGGCGGAATAGGTCGGGGTGGAGGTTGACAAGCTGGTAGCAGAGAGTATAGCTGCAGAACTTTTTGTGTAAAAGGATGATGCATCACCGTTGTCTGAGGCGCCCTCGCCCACCCGGTCAAGTACGCCACCCGTCCCAACCATCCCCACGTCCTACTGCCAAGGTAGGATGTACTGCCCGATGTCAGACCTTACACGTTCAACGCTGGGTTGTCTCAACGTCTGAAGCTTACATGAGCTGTGGGCTTGCGTTGCGGGCTGCTGGCAATGGATGGTCTTAGACAGGACGAAGGAGTGCCAACTGGAGGAGGGGTGAGTGAGGTCAGGTTGGCTTAAAGCTGGCGAGTGGTGCTGGCAGCAGTGCGTTCCACCTCCAGCATTCGCGCGAGTGTGCGAATGCTGGAGGTGCGAGGTTTATCCAGAATCCCGCCCAGTTCCACATCCACTGGATGGTTCTCGAGGTTAGGGGGGATGGTGCGAGGTCGCGCGGAAGGAGGCGTCCGCCCCTCCCTCAAGTGCCAAATTACCCAAGAGAAGACCCCAATCAGTGGATGGTTTTCGCTGAGGAGATCGACCGGGAACCCGGGAGCCCGGGAACCCAAAGCCCACCGAAATCGGCCCGGAACCAATAACCGGGAGCCGGGGAACCCGGAACCGGGAACCTGGGAACCCAGCCTGCTACCAAAATCGGCGGGAAGTTTTCGCCAAATTTTTCATCTTCCGCTGGGACCCCTTCAGTGCGAGCACTCGTTGGGGAAGTAAACCCACCGTTCACCTCCAGGCAGGCTCGCATGATGCCGGTGCGCGAGGGGTTGGGGCGGCGCAGCAAGGCACAGAGAACGAGGCACGCTGCCGTAAGACGAGAGCCGGCAGCAAGAGCGCCCTGCCTCGGAGTTGCAGGCTGTCTTGCAAGGTACAGAGACCTACACGTTGCTGATTTCTAGTTTTTCGAGAGTTCTTCGATTTTTTGAGGGCCAAGATCCGTTCATTTCTAATTGTTCGATCCTGGACCTCTTCCTGGCCACTAGGGGGCCAGGAGCAAGTAGAAATGACCACAATTTGAAATGAGCACGATTAGAAATGAACCGACGTGTAGGTAAGTTGATGGAAGATGGAAGCTTGTCGTACAAGTTTGTGAAGTCGGAGATCGTGAGCCCCCTTCCTCCGCGCGGCCTCACACCATCCCCTCAGACCTCCCCGCATCTCTCCAAGCATGCATGCTTGACGTGGCTGTTCTAGACGGAGAGTCTGGGCAGCGTCGGTGCTCAGTCAGCCTAGGCGTACCGTCCCCTATAGAATACGAGGTGATGGATCTCTGAGTGGTGCAACTTAAAGCGGTTGGTATGTGAAAATGACAGGTGCGTACGTACAGCGGCGACAGTAGTAGGCATATTGCACGCACTGCTACTGGTGGTGTGGGGTCCTCAAGACGAGAAGAGCCCATGCGCAGAGACACGTAAGGGGATCGCGTGTGCAGGTAAGGCGAGTCGTGAGGTCCCCCCAACCCAATATCCTTCTCCTCATGGCCCTCCTCTTCATGGTCTCTCCTCCTGATCCTGCTCCCCCTTCTCCTCTCGCGTTCCCTCATCCGTCTCCCCTCTCTTTCTCCTTCACCCCAATCCCTCCTCCACCCTGGCTCTGCCTCCCCCTCTTCGTCCCTGTAGTTCCCCTTGCCTCCTCGTTTCTCCCTTCCGCCTCTCTCTTCCTGGTCCCTTGTCTCCCCCCCCTCTGCTCGCCGCGGGCACTGGTGCGGGCTGCCATGGCTTCTAGACGGCGGGCGCGTCGAGCGGCCACTGACTCGGAGGCTGTCGAGAGGCCGCGCCGACGTGGCGCGGGGCCGTCGAGGCCGCATAGACGCGCGTCCGCCGAGGCCGCATCGGCGTTGTTTTCACTGCGTTTGCGCTCGAAAAAGAGAGGTCGCTCCTGCGGTCCTCCCCCGTTCGCTCCTCTCCCTCGCTGGTGGAGCAGAGAGAGGAAGGCACGTGGAGGAGCAGATTCCCCAGACAGTGCTCACACTCCGTGATCGCTTGCTTATTCCTTGTTCTGCCGATCGGCGCGGGCCATCGCACCCCCCTCTTCCCCCCCCCTATCGAGTAGATCTTGTCTGTTTTTGGCGTCTGTTTCGAGCAGGTGGATTCTGCCCCCTAGAGACGCACTGTTGCCAACAGCCGCACTGAGCAGAGGACCAGAGCCAGACCCCCCCCCGCCTCCGCCCGGTGTCGCAACGCCGAAGAAGAAACAAACATTAGTTTGGGGGGTCCTCCTTTGGCTCCTTCAGAGAGCACTTGCACGGGTTTCAAGGGGTGTGTCCCCAACTGGGGTGGTAATTTGGTGGGCGTCTCGAAGGGGATGGAGATGGGGATGGGGATCGGCTAAACGGTACCGACCTTTGGGGCGCGGCTGGAGGGGACCTCGGAGGAGGCCGAATCCAAGCAATCCAAGCGCGTCAACCGATGCGGGTTGCCGCCGCGTGGCACCGCCTGTGCCCGCTCTCGTGGGCGCCCCGTGGGCACTGCGTGCGCTGGGCGGCTCCCCCGAGGCCCTCGCCACGCTCCTGCCCCCGTCTGCCCATCCGGCCCCCTCCTGGCAGAACGCTCCTCCTCCTCCTCCCTCCCTCCCCTCCCTCGCTCCCTCCCTCCCTCCTTCCCTCCTCCTCCTCCTCCTCCCTTCCTTCCGTCCTTCCTTCCTTCCTTCCTTCCTTCCTTCCTTCCTTCCTTCCTCTTCCCTCCTCCTCCTCCTCCTCCTCCTCCTCATCCTCCTCATCCTCCTCCTCCTTCTCCTCCTCCTCCTCCTCCGTCTCCTCCTCCTCAGTCTCCTCCGTCTCCTCCTCCTCGCTCTTCTTCTCCTCCTTCCTCCTCCTCTTCCTCCTCCTCCTCCTCCTCCTCCTCCTCCTCCTCCTCCTCCTCTTCCTCCTCGTAGAACGGAGGCGCCGCCTCCGCCGCGAGCGCTCGGCAGGCCCCGAGGGCCAGGGGCACGCGGCAGGGAGAGCCGACGCGGCCCCGACGGCTATCCGCGACACGTGCCCCGGCGTCACGCGGCGTGGCGCGCTGGGCTTCAGGGATCCTCCTCCTCCCTCTTTCCCTCCCTCCTCCTCCTCCTCCCTTCCTCCCTCCTCCCTCCTCCTCCCTTACGCCATTTCGGCCTGACCAGGCGCGCGCCGCGCGCACGCGCCAAGCGACGGCCGACGCAGCAGGGCGCGCACCATCGGCGGCGGCGGGCTGGGGCTCGCTGTGCGCCGGTTCGCGGCTTGAGGGGGGCGGCAGCAGCCGCTGCAAAAATTCTTGCTGCCCCAGTACATGGCCCGAGGCCGCGGCTGGCTAAAATATGAGGAGGAGCAGGCATCTTCGTGGGCGTCGTGGGGAGCCCCATGGCGACGAATGGGATCGCGCTCGTCCAGCCGCAGGCCGCTTAACACCAAGGGCAGGAAGCACTGGACAAACTGTAAGACGTGTGGACGTGCATGGAAGGTCGCACCCAGCGCTGCAACAAAGGACGGAGACAACGCCGACGCAGAGCAGTCCGAGGCCGCCAAGGCCATGGTGGAGATACTCAGGAAGCAGTGCAACCAGGCAAGCGAGCAGAAGGACCAAGCCAAGATGGACGAGATTTTGGCTGCCTGCCCAGACGCGAAGCCGCCAGAACAAGCTGAGCCAGTCGAACCCTCCACATGCCAGAAGCTCTAGCAGGCGGTGGCCGAGCTCAACAGGCTGCAGAAGCATCAGGGCAAATTGGCCAAACAGCTCAAGCGCGCCACAGAGTACCGCAACGACGTGCGCCAGCTGGCAGAGGCAAAGCGTGTCTTCAGGGAGGCCAAGGCAGAGCTTGGCGGCGGCGAAGAAGCAGCACCTGAAGTGGAAAAGAAGCCCGAAGAAAACGAGGAGTTCCCCACCCTGTCGGACGAAGACCTGTCCATACTGGACCCCAAGCAGAAGGAGGAGTACGAACATATCCAGAAGGAGTACCAGCAGGCCAAGTCCTTCATCAGCGCCAAGAATGAAGCAGTCCAGAACGCGAAGAAGGCGCTCGACGCAGCGAAGCAGATCCAGGCGAAGGCGTGCAAGCGACGTAAAGGATGGCAAGGTGAAGTCCGAGCGGAGGCGAAAAAGGAGCCAGAGGCGGTCCTGACGGCAGAGGCATAGCAACCAGCAACCGCAAGAGAAGCAGGCCAAGCCGTGGACCCCGAGATCAAGCTCGCCGCTAAGTTCGACCCCTCCAATAACGAACAGGTCCAAGCCTACCCTTTGAAGCTGGCCAAGGTCAAGGGCAGGGCGAAGGTCGCGGTGGCAACGCGGCAAGCCCCACCTGCGGCAGCAGCAGCAGCTAAAGGCGACGGAGTTGGAGGGTAACTTCGACAACGCCAAGCGCAACCCGATGCACACCTACTCCGCACTAGCAGAGCCTGCTGCGAAGGGGGGTGAGCCAAGGGTGGTCTGCCTTGCGGCTGAGAGAGGCAGACCCCCACTCGCAGCAGGCCTTCTTCGAAGACCAATCAGCGACGCCGAGCCGACGTGCACCAAGACGGTTTGGATCGACGACGAGGTTGACTACATCATTGAAAGTGCTTTTACTCGGACTAGGGATGACAATGGCAACGCGGCGCCGACAATTTCACTTTGTGGGAGCTCTTCGTGCGCTACGATGGCGACATAACCAGTCCGTGCAGGAGCGCGAGGTACCTGCTCTACAGCCCCCGCTGTCGACGGCGCCAAGCAGCGCAAGCTGAAGGACGATGCCAATAACACCGCCAAAATTTTCGTGGCCAGCTGCGCGCGGCACAATGAGGCCGCCAAGAAATTCGCAGAGGGCGACGCGGGCGAGGAGTGCGACCTGATGGCCTTCAGCGAGCACCACTTGCGAGGGCCAGCAGCGAATATCGAGGCTAACAGGCTCATGCGGCTTGGGTGGAGGTCGCGCGGTAATTGGGCGCCAGCAAGACAGTCGCCGAGATCGTAGAAAGGCACGCTAGGAGGCGCATGCGTACTTCGAAGACGGCACTTGGACACGCGCATTCACCTGCCAGACGCGCGGGGCCACGGTATCTTCGCGGAGGACTTCCGCGACGTAATCATCGTCAAGTGGCAGCTCAAAAGTGAGCCGATTGCAGTCATCACGGCTTAACTCGCGGCCTCCATAGGCTTCGCGGGTGGGAACATTCGCAAGACGAAGCACCTCTTGCAACTGCCGCGTAGCCTGGGCACTAAACCATGGATTACCTGCGGCGGCTTCAATAGTGCGCCCCAGGACTTCGAGGCGACCCCATGGCTACAGTTACCTGGAGCAGCGATTGTGGTACCGCAGCACGTCAATCACACGTGCAGCAGTCGATCTGGAAGGCTCATAGACTTCGCGATCGTTCCCCCCGCCCACTCGTCCACTACTTGAAGCAGTTCGAGCAGCGCGCGACGCGCCATGGTCACCGCGCATCGGCATCATCATCGAAGTATGGGCGAAACCTTCGACGCATGATTCGCAAGCCCATGCTCCCAGCTAAGAAGCCCATCCCCATGGCGGAGGTGCAGCGGGAGAGGCATCAAGAGGGAATAGCGAGACAGGGAGCATCACCAAGACATGGCCCAGTACTTCGACGAGGACCTCCTGGATAATGCGCTCCTGAACAGCTACTACACGGAGGCGTTAGCCATGACGTGCGCCCCGACCATCTGGGACAAGTGCCGCGAGGAAGAGGCCTCTGGCCGAATCCGAGGCCCGCCAGGATGGGTCCAGAAATCCTCTGCCTACAAGCAGAACCCTAGAATGAGCGACTTGCTTGGCAGATTACACGGCAAGTGGGCGAATGCGGCCGAGGGAGCATTGGCCATTATCGCACGAGCACCGCTTCATGCTGGAGTTCGGCGAGGGCGACCGATGAGACAACGCGAAGTACCATGTCCACAGCACGTTGCGGACAAGCCCATTGGCGACACAGAGTTTGACAAGCAGCAGCAAGTTAGCACACTTCTGGTCAAAGCTATACCCACGATGTCGCGATGGAGAGATACGTCTTCAAAGGCGCCCGACCGACAGCCAGCAGCGCGCGGCGACCGCGTGCCACCCCGCGATTGTCTGTTGGTCACATCAGGCTCTAAACCGGCGGCGAGGAGCGACCTATTGGGGCACTGCCGTTCCCAGTGCGCTTGTGGGGGAAGATGGCAAGAAGTGAAATGCAAGATTGGTGTGCTGAGAAGGCTGGCTATTGGGGCGCAGCGATCCAAGGCTCGTCGGCGCTTAGATAGAGCAGCCGCATTATCCATGGCACTTGACGAGGCAAGCGCGAAACTCAGTGGGCCTCTATATGGCACCTTCTACCGCGACCTTGAATTGCGAGCACCTGGGGGTCTGGGGCGGTCGCGGATCTTGCGGCGGGGTATCAGCCTGGAGTCTCGACGGAGCAGCGCGCGCAGAATCTGACAGTTGCAGTGTTTTTGTGTAGCCTGTCTTCCAGGCGGAAATGCTGCACGTGAGGAATCCGATTGTTGCAGCGCTTGTTCGAAGCGTTTTTGATGCAATAAAAAAGACAGTCGTCGATCGCATCTGGATTCGGTTGCACGGGCTCGACGGGCGATCGAAAATGCAAAACGCTCCTACAGAGCGTAACACCAGCGCCCCTAGCAGGCGCGCAGTGCATCACATCTTGGACAGTGTGGACCTGAGCATCCGGTCGCCTTTACATGCAGCATGCTGGAATGCCCAAAGGTCAACGTCTACATGGGCATGCTACTGTACCTATCGCCTCGAGTAGTACGCGCTTGCCGTGACCATGCTGAGCCGATCTGCCCATGGAATGGCATCGTGGCAGGATGTGCGGCTGCGGACCGCGCGGCGAGGGCCATGACATACATCATCCTGGACATCACCCACAGCGCGGCGCCGCTAGCGGTCACGCGTGACTTCGTGGGCGACCTCCACGCGCGAGTCGAAGGACTACCAGACCAATGCCAAGAGCAGTTCCCCGTCGCGGTCGACACGTTGGCGCAGTCATGCCTGGGCCCAAAGCTGGTGGTATCAGGAAAGTCAGCCCTACTCGCGAACTGCAGAATTACCAAGAAGGTCATCGTCAAGCACCTCAAAGGCAAGGGCATCAACATTGAGACCGCGAAATTCGTCAAGGACCCCGGCATCGACGCGGCGATGGGAAGGCAGCGTACCACGCTCACGCGTATGAGTAGGGCCAAACAAGCGCGCCTACGAGCCATGCGCGCGAAGATCTTCAGCAGGCAGAATGGGCGTTGGCGGCGCAGAACGGCGACATTATTCAACCCGAACCTGAGGGCCAAGCAGAGCTACGATTAGCCAATCACAGGACTCAGCCCAAGTGCAGTGCGTGATGCGAGAGCTCAAGCGGCAGAAATGATTGGCTTCACAACCAGTGGCAGGCGCACCTCGACCATCGACGCCATCTTCTACGGCGAGAACGAACCAGCCACAGCATGCCTCCAGCGACAAGTACGATAATGGATCCAGATGTGGCAGAAATATACGCCAGCACGCGATCGGCTACGACAAGGATGGCAAGATAATCTAAAGCGGCTGACGCGTCTGAGACCCAGAGGCAAGTGGAGCCCCATCACGGGGCCAATGGGGGCCCTCATCTTGTCGCTCCAGCAGCTTCGATGGGACCCAGAGCAGCCGGACCAGTGGGGCGACGCGCGTGGAGAAACCTGGGGGTTCCAGAGTGAGGGCGCACTAGACTTCAGGGGGATCCTGAAAGCGCTGGCAAAAGACATGGAAGCACAGCTCTGGACGAAAGCGGCGGACCACTATTACTGCAAAGGAATGCAGCTCGGTATGGGCACCACAATGCTTAATAATACACGGCAGAAACTACGGGAAGCTGACCGAGTCCCAGAAACTGGCGCACTCGAAGCTCTAGCTAGTGGCATTATATGGACTGGACAACGGCGCAACGATGCAGGATATCAAACGGACGGAATCTGTCCGAGATGCTTGAAGGCGGCCGACACGCTAAAGCACAGGATCTACGAGTGCGGAATAGACGACAACCTCTCGATCGACGCGGCGATCAAGTCATAGTCGGCATGCAGGAGAGCCATAGAAGAGATGCGCGAATATCCAGAGACAGAGGCGCATTGGCTACGTGGACTTCTTCCTCGGCGCAGGAATCCAGTGCCAGATCCACCAGCATGGGGAGATTGGGGCGGCAGCTGCTGGACTACGGCGGGAGCTGGGCCTAAGCTCCTTGCGAGAGAGCTCGTCGCTGTCGACCCAGAACAGTGCAGCATGGCTTTCGTGGGCGGATCAGGCATCAGCAACGACATGCACACCAACAGAGTGGGATGGGGACTCGCGCTACAACTGCGAGATGGACAACAGCAGCAGCAGCTAGGGCAGGCGCGTACGTGGCGCGACGATGCCCTCGAGGAGCAGGGGGGCCCACCAGGGGTACAACACATAAGTGCACATGAACAGCGACAAGGGAGTCGACCTAGCCTCTGGACTGGCCACATAGACGGCACAGACCACATCGGCGTCTGCGACGCGATCGATGGGGGACAGAGCGTGCCAGCAGCTGAACATGCAGGACCATTCTGGGCGTTGGCGCTTGCTAAAGGTCCAATCGAGATCGTCATGGACTGCCAGCAAGTCGTGAATGGCTGGGCCCAGAAGCACGACGAGAAGTCCCAAGAAGTCCAGAGACCATGGTGGGAAAGGATGGGTAAAATGATAAACAAGTGACCTGGTGGAATACGCGGGGTGCAAGTCCACAAATGCCGAATGCCTGCCCCACCTCGACCAGGAGTCCGTCAAGCAGTCGGGCCAGGCCTTCCACATCGCATGGGCAACGAGATTGCGGACGCCCTTGCCCGGCGTGGAGCAGAAGAGGCCGCGGCAGAGATACGTGACGATGCCAAACTGTTAATGGAAGTGGAGACTACCTTCATGAGAGCCCAGCGACGTGCTGCCGCCATTATCCACGAGATCTGCAAGGATGCGGACCCCAGCAAGCTGGACAGACCAAGACAGGCACCCAAAAAGATAGCACGAGAAAGACGGGCTCAAGTCGAAGAAGAATCAGGACACAGGATGCCACAGAAGAAGGGCCAATGGGCATGCCAAGAGTGCTGGCTCACACCTGGCAAGTACAGCGTGGTCGACTGGATGGAGGCCAATGTGTGCGTCGGACTGCAGCACGAGACGCACCGAGCTAATCACGGTTATGCTGCACAAGTACCCATCAACGAGATGATAGAGATCAAGGACAAGGTCATCCAGGCCAGCCACTGCATTGCGGTGGCCCATGGGCAGTTCTGGTGCTGGAGCTGAGCGGCAGCGGCTTCACACAATGATGAGGGGCATGGCAGAGTCAACTTGCTGGCGGCGAAGTGCAGGGATAAGACCACCCCGAGTGGCACGACTGTGCTGCGTCGACTTCGGCATGGACTACCACCGAAAGCGGGCCAGAACTGGCCAGACGGAACGGCGCCGCCAAACGGCGGTCGGCTACCACGAGCTGCTGCAACGGCCGCGTGGTTGAGTACATGGCACGGGGCGTCGGCCCCGCAGAATTACTCTGCCCTGAAGTGGCAGCGAGGTGGAGGCCCGGCAAGTTCAGGGGGCTGGCTCGCGACCTCAGCCGCGGCAGCGCGGCTCGGGCCTGCGCGTTTTGCGCGGCCTGGCACGGGGCTTCGGCCCCGCAGAGATACTCTGCCCTGGGAGTGGAAGGGAGGTGGAGTTCCGCCCTGTCTCTGGGGTGGGCTCGCGACCTCAAGAGAGCCCGCGCGGTCGGCGCGGGCGGGGGCCGCGGCGGCCGAGTCGACCGCGGAGCCCCTCGCTCGATAGTCCTCGATAGTCCCCCGTCCTCTTCCTCCTCCTCCTCCTCCTCCTCCTCACTCTCCTCCTCCTCCTCCTCCTCCTCCTCCTCCCCCTCCTCCTCCTCCTCCTCAACCTCCTCCTCCTCCTCTTCCTCATCCTCATCATCATCATCATCACCCTTCTCTTCTCTGGGTTTGATATTGACCTCATGAACATGTTGGTATAGGTGCCCGGGACGTTGTGATGGCCCAGCACCTCTTGCGAGGATGGTGCCGAAAGGGGCCGCCCTCCTCCTCCTAGCTGCCGGCGGGCGTCTGGGTTGCAGGCACGGCTGGTTCCTGGCGCCTCACGCCTGGAGTGCCTCCTCCGTGTCTCCTTTTCCTCTTCCGCCGCCTCCCTAAACCTCCTCAAAAGGCTATTGATGGGGAAAGTCATCCGTCCTGCGCTTCTCGTCCATATCGAGCATTTCTTGCGGGTTGCAGCAGTTGGGTGGCAAACTGTTGGCTCAAGCGGGGTTCGTTCGGCCCTTCGCTATTGGACCGAGGTGAGCGTCAGATGGCGGCTGATGACCAGATGTATGTGATGAAGCGGGATGGCCAGCGGCAGGAGGTGAGGTTTGACAACATCACGAAGCGGATCCGCGCCTTGTGCCACGGCTTGGATTCTGGTTACGTGGACCCCATCCCTATCACGCAGAAGGTCGTGGAGGGCTTCTACAACGGTAGTCAACCGCCAGCAAATATCCATGTCCACCACTCCTGCTCCCCATCCCCCCCCGCCAGGAAATGTCCGTACCCATTACTGCTTCGGAATCGCTCCCCAGGACCTCAGGGAGCTGCGTACTTGAGTACTTGTTTCTCTCTCCACGGGGCGCAACAATTATCCATACCCACCGCTCCCTGGGGACCGGCGCGGTCGAGGAGCAGGAGAGGGGAAAATGCGGACAGGCTGGATCGCATGAGTGGTGGAAAAGGATCGATCGGGGCTGGCGCAGGTATATCGACATCTCAGATTGACACTCTCGCCGCCGAGACCTGCGCCTACATTCGGGGAGACATAAGACTCGAGTGCGCCAGAACTCGGGTTTGCCGACGCTTTTCTGCGAGCGCGTCTTGGATTTTGACGGCCCAGTTTTCGTGAGATGTTTGCAGCGGGAGCTCGCGTCAGATTTCAGATCGGGTCTCGTCATTTTCATGCTGGCCTCGTCAGGCCAACCCGAGTGCCCCGAACCCGAGTCTTACGTCTCCCCGATACATGTCGCAGAAGCACCCAGACTTCTCCACGCTCGCGGCCCGCATAGCAGTCTCGAACCTGCACAAGAACACGACCGACTCCTTCTCGGAGACTTGCCGCATGCTGCACGGGTTCGTGGACAAGCAGGGCCGTTCCGCTGCTCTCCTCTCGGACGAGGTCGCGTCGTTTGTCGAGGAGAACGCGGCTGAGCTGGATGAGGCGGTTGACTATGGCAGGGACTCGGATTACGACTACTTCGGCTTCAAAACACTGGAAAAGTCCTACCTCCTCCGGGTGCACGGCAAGGTAGTGGAGCGTCCTCAGCACATGTTGATGCGCGTGTCGTGCGGCATTCATTGCGGAAGCGTTGAGAAGGTAATCGAGACATACAACCTTATGTCGCAGCGAAAGATGACGCACGCCACCCCAACTCTGTTCAATTCGGGGACTCCCACGCCACAGATGTCATCCTGTTTTCTGCTCACCATGAAGGACGACAGTATCGAAGGCATCTACGACACTCTCAAACAGTGCGCCCTCATTTCTAAGTCCGCCGGGGGCATTGGCGTAGCGATCTCCAACGTTCGCGCCCAAGGCAGCTACATCCGAGGTACCAACGGGTACAGTAACGGCCTTGTGCCTATGCTGCGCAATTTCAACGAGACCGCACGGTACGTCGATCAGGGCGGTGGCAAGCGCAAGGGCTCATTTGCAATGTATTTAGAACCATGGCATGGCGACGTATTCGAATTCTAGACGCTTCGCGTATCCGCACCATTGGCTCTGTGCCCCAGTCAGCCCGATTGACACTCCTTCTGGACTTTTCCTTGCAGGCCGCAGATCAAAAAAAGTATCCGCACCATCCAGACACGATGCCCAGAAGAGTTGCCCTAATCAGGGATGTGGAGGATAACGCAGTGGAATAGAGGGCTGGGTAAGACGTCGTATTTCCAGAAGGGGAGGAGGAATCGGAGGAGGAGCGGGAGCAGGAGGAGGAGCAGGAGGACGAGGATTAGGAGGAGGAGGAGGAGGAGGACAAGGAGGGAGGGGTGGAGGGGGAGGGGAAGGAGGAAGAGGAGGAACAGGCGGATGAGGAAGAGGAGGAGAAGGAGGAGGAGGAGGAGGAGGAAGAGGAGGAGGAAGAGGAGGAGGAGGAGGAGGAGGAGGAGGACGGCGAGCAGAAAGGCCAGAGGCCTCTTGGAGATTTGTTTCGAGAGTTTCCTGGGGTCCTCTTGGGGCATCTACGGGGTCACTTGGCAGTCCCGGGTTCCTCATCGGTCAACGTGGGTGCCTTTGGGGGGCCTCTGGGAGCCCCTTGGCGGTCACTTGGGAGCCTCTTGCCATCTTGGGGGCATCGTGGGAGCCTCTGGGAGCCTCCTGTGCACCTCTTGGGGCCCTCTCGGGGCACCCTCGGGAGCGTCGGGTGGCATGTTGGGGCCATCTTGGAACGGATCGATCAAGGGAGGGGCCGAAGGAAGGAAGCCAACATGTGGCCCGCCCCCCAGGAAGGAAGCCAACATGTGGCCCAAGCCTGAGTACAATCAATGGTGTTGGCCTTCTCGCCGAGTCCTCTTGGGGCGTCATGGGTGTCTCTGGGAAGCCTCTGGGAGCCTCTTGGGGGTCTCTTGGGGGCCTCTTGGCAGCCTCTTGGGGGCCTCTTGGGAGCCTTCTGGGGCCTCCTGGGCACCTCTTGGGGCCGTCTTGCAGCATCTCTGGGAGCCTTGGGGGCCATCTTGGAGCCATCTTGGAGCCAACTTGGAAGAGCTCGACCAACGGAGGGGGGCCTCCTTACTTAGGGTCCCCCCCCCGAAGGCCAACATGTGGCCAAAGCCTGCGCCAAATCACTGGTGTTGGTCTTCTCGCCGAGGCCTCTTAGGGCATCTTGGGTGCCTCGGGGGGGACCTCTTGGGGCCTCTTGGGGGTCTCTTGCGACCGTCTTGGGGGCATGTTGGGAGCCTCTTGGGGCCTCCTGGGCACCGCTTGGGGCCATCTCGGGGCACCCTTGGGAGCCTCGGGTGGCATCTTGGGGCCATCGTGGAAGAGATCGATCAAAGGAGGTGCCGAAGTACATTAGGGCTCCACCCCCCCTCCCAGAAGGCCAACATGTGGCCAAAGCCTGCGCCACATCACTGGTGTTGGTCTTCTCGCCGAGGCCTCCTGTGGCGTCTTGGATGCCCCTGGGAGACCTCTTGGGGCCTCTTGGGGGTCTCTTGGCAGCCTCTTGGGGGCCTTCAGGGGCCTCCTGGGCACCTCTTGGGGCCATCTTGGGGCACCCTTGGGAGCCTCGGGTGGCATCTTGGGGCTATCGTGGAAGAGATCGATCAAAGGAGGGGAGCTCCTCAATTAGGGCCCCACCCCCCAGGAAGCCAACATGTGGCCAAAGCCACATCAATGATTATGGCCTTCTCGCCATGGCCACCTTGGACACTCAAAACATTGGCCGCGACCCCCCACCCTCCAGACCCAGAGGGGGGTAGCGGGAGGGGTCAAGGCACCCTCCCCGCCCGCAAGCCGTCTCGCTCACTCCCACCCGCCCTCCCAACACATAAGTAACTAACAGCCGAGCCGCAGCATGTTCAGCGGTCGTCTTTGGATTGGCAGCTCATGGAAACCAGAACACGCCACATATGCGCAACGCTGGGGCGAGGTGCGCCACGCGTGCCAGGCGCGCCACGCGCGCCAGGTGCGCCAGGCACCCCTTTGGCCCAAGCGTGCCAGGCACGCCTGGTGCGCCAGATGCGCCACGTGATCCACGTGCGCCATGTGTGCCGCATGCTCCAGCCGCGCCATGTGCGCCACGTTCGGGGTATGCACAGAGTGTGCCAGGTGCGACTGCGCACGTGATAGTACACATCGGGAACCGTGTCGGCCCCCACTGCCTTTACCGAAAACCAATGCTCAATTGCGGCGGGGTGGCCATCATAGTGTCTGGTGAGCCTGCACACAGCAGGTCATTTGCCAGCACCCCCGCCGTCCCAGTCAACAAAAAAATGCACAGTGATCGCAGGGTGCCCGCGCATGATCCAGATTTTGCCTCGAAGTGCACTGTTGTATTGGTTTTTGACAGGGGTGCTGGCCCTGCGCGCAGCAGACAATATATTGCCCACCCCCAGCCGTCCCTGACACAAAACAATACGAAGTGGTCGCGCCCCCCCGAGCATGACCCAGGATTTTGCCCCAAAGTGGACCACACATGGTTTTTGAAATGGATGGTGGGTGGGCGTCCTCATTGTTCCTTGTTGGCTGCCGGTCGCCCTTGGGAGGGGGTGTTATTGATAGGGAACAGTGATAAATCTTTCCCCGAATGGGGAGGAAGGGATGGAAGAGGAAACGCTCTGAACCACTCATGCCCTCAAGGGCTGGTGGGATTCCTTGACCTCCGGAAGAACCACGGCAAGGAGGAGCAGCGAGCGCGCGACCTTTTCTATGCTTTGTGGATTCCCGACCTGTTCATGCGCAGGGTGAAAGAAGACGCCGAGTGGACACTGTTCTGTCCGAACCAGGCATACGACAAGGAGTCGTCCAAGGGGTTGATGGACGTCTGGGGCGAGGAGTTTGAGCAGTTGTACGAGCGGCTCGAGAGGGAGGGAAAGGGCCTGAAGAAAGTAAAGGCGCAGCAGCTCTGGTTCCGTATCCTGGACGCCCAGATGGAGACAGGTACGCCCTACATGCTTTACAAGGACCACGCTAACCGGAAGTCCAACCAGCAGAATTTGGGCACCATCCACAATTCAAACCTCTGCACGGAGATTGTGGAGTACACCTCCAAGGACGAGGTGGCGGTCTGCAACTTGGCTTCCATCGCACTCCCTGCCTTCGTGCGTGGCGAGCGCGTCGAGGACTACGACTTCGAGGGGCTGCGCCAGGTGACGCAGGTGGCCACTCGCAATCTCAACCGGGTCATCGACAGGAACTACTATCCCGTGGAGGAGTCTGCCACGCGCAGAGGGGGGTGGGGGGAGGGGGGAGGGCTTCTTAGAAGCACCCCTGCTTTTTAGAAGGCGCGGGCCTTATCTATAGATATAGGGCCGGCGCCTTCTCAGAAGCAGCCTCCTTCTAAGAAGCCCTCCCCCTCCGTCTACCCCCTTCTGCGCACTGCCAAAGGAGGCCCGGGTGTCGAACATGAGGCACAGGCCCATCGGCCTGGGCGTCCAGGGGCTGGCAGACGCCTTCCTGCTGCTGCGCCTCCCCTTCGAGGGCGAGGCCGCCCGCCGCCTCAACGAGGACATCTTCGAGACGATCTACTTCGCCGCCTGCGAGGCCTCCTGCGAGCTGGCCGAGCTGGAGGGGCCCTACGAGTCCTTCGCGGGCTCGCCCGCCAGCCAGGGCAAGCTGCAGTTCGACCTCTGGAACAGGACACCCAAGAGCGGCCGGTGGGACTGGGCATGGCTGAAGGGCCGGATCGCGCAGCACGGGCTGCGGAACTCGCTGCTGGTTGCCCCCATGCCCACGGCCAGCACGGCGCAGATCCTCGGCAACAACGAGTCTTTCGAGCCCTACACACAGAATCTCTACGTGCGCCGCGTGCTTTCCGGCGAGTTCGTGTCGGTAAACAGGCACCTGCTGCGTGATCTCATCAAGCGCGGGCTCTGGACAGAGGATCTGCGCTTGCAGCTGATCGCACACAACGGCAGCGTGCAGCAGCTAAATCTTCCCGCGGAGGTGAAGGAGTTGTACAAGACAGTCTGGGAGATCAAACAGCGCATAGTGCTGGACATGGCCGCTGACAGGGGTGCATACATAGATCAGTCCCAGTCCCTGAACATTCACATGGTCGACGCCACTACAGCGAAGCTGTCCTCGATGCACTTCCACGGCTGGCAACTCGGCCTGAAGACGGGCATGTATTACTTGCGAACGAAGGCGGCCGTAGATGCCATCAAGTTCACCGTAGACGTCGAGAAGATGAAGCGGGCGGCGTCTGGATGGATCCAGGCCAAGGGGGAACATGGCGGCGACCCGCAGAGCGCAGAGGCAGCGGCGGCAGCAGTCGCGGAGGAGAAGCAGGCGATCGACCGCTTGAAGGCAGGCGAGAACAAGTACGAGTGTGTCGGGTGCAGCGCTTGAGGTTGGCCAGCTCCCCATGGGCCGCCCTGGCTGGGTATGCGGCAAGGCATGCGCTCGGGGTGGAGCGGGAAGTTGCAGCGTTGGTGGTGGCGCCGCTGTCATGTATTTCAAGGCCCCCAGCCAGATCTATACATACCCTTACGGGGTTGCCTCCTAGAGTGTGTCATCGGTCTTTGCTAGGGTCTGCGTTCAGACGGGTTGTTGAAGCTGCCAAGCCAACCTTTTTCCGTTCAGTGTTGCCGTGATGTCGCGTTTGCATTGAGTACGTAATGCCCAACGGCTTCATTGCTGCTTTCACATACTGCGCAATAGTGGAGCGCGATGGGGGATTCGCGCTGTTCTGCTCGGGACATTTACACACGCAATGGCGCTGATTGCGACGTGTACGATAGGTCAGCCCCTTCTTCGGGATTGCTCCATCAAGACAAATAAGTGCTATCATTGCCACCGCTTCCCTTACCACCACTGTACAGCCGCTAGTGCTGCTGCTTTTTTAGATGGTCGGATCCTCGTCGCAAAACTGAACTAGCGAGGCTATTGGGCATTCGGATATCATGTTCCCGCCCCTCTTCAGTAATGACGTCAAAGAGTGGATATACGTGCTTCGGTATATCAGATAAGCGCCCCACGCACGCAATGTATGCATATGTGCCCATTTACCAGATTGCGTTTGTTGTTCGTGTCTGCATGTCATGTCCTCATGCCCAACACATCGAGTTGTTGGTTTTAGTGGAAAGCCTCTGCCTCACCTTCCTCATGCTGCCACCCTCTTTCAGATTCGCTTGTTTACACTCCGCCCCACTCACTTTCAGGTTCACTCATTCACCCTGGCTCCTTCACCTCAGTCTCACTCGCACGCTGACTCGCACTGAGATGAGCTCAGACTTAGAGTCCCTCGCAGCCCATCGGGATCACCTTGACGCACGTCCAGACCCATTCGTCGGGGCCCGCCGCCACCCAGTCGCGGAGGTCATCGTCGTAGACCAGACGGAAGTCGAAGTTGCCCGTGCCGTGCAGGGCAGGCAGAGGTAGCGAGCCACCTCGAAGTCGGCTTGGAAGTGGCCGTCGGTGAGGTCGGCGCCAGTGGAGTGGACGTCCAGCGGACGGCCTCGGGTCTCGTGCTCCGCCGCCATGGTCTCACCCTCCCCGAGGAGGAAACCAGCCAGCGTGCGCGCCGCAACCAGCCGGCTCGCCGGCGGGGGCCGATGCAGCACCTTGGCCGGGCGACGCTGCAGCACCAGACGCAGGCGACAGCCGTCCTCCTTGATCACCGTGAGCGCACCCACGCAGCACCGAGCCCGCCGACGCAGCGATGTCATCGTGGCTGCGTGCAGCTTCTCCACCGAGGTCTTCCTGCTGCGCGGGTCCCTCAACGCCAGGTCGAGGCAGGGCTTGGCCGAGGCCTCGGCTGCAAGAGTACTGCGAAGGCCTGACGGCCAGTGCCGCCGACCCTGAGCACGACGAAGATGAAAACGAGGGGGGGCAGGGGGGAGGAAGATGAGTGGGGACGTGGAGGAAGGGTGGGGGAGGTGTCAACGCCAGGTCGAGGTAGGGCTTGGCCGAGGCCTCGGCTGCAAGAGTATGCTCATCATCCGGTAGTCTGAACATCGATCCCCACGGGTCGGCCGCCATCGGCCGAGCGTCGGGCCCGACCACCCTGCCGACTGGCTTGGGGTGATCGCCTCCGCCGCGAACCGCGCGGACTCGATCTGCCTCGAATGGCCTGCCGGCCGCGCCGTCGGTCGTGAACTCTTCAACGCTCAGAGCTCGAAGGACCTCTCGCAAGGCGCCCCTCCCGTCAGGCCCAGAGGCGGGTCGCCCCAAGGCCAGGACGGCCTCCCCCAGCCGGGGGCGCCCACTGCACGCTGCAGTCCAGTACAGTCGGCCCGGAGTGGCAGCTCGACGCTGCCAAGTCAAGGGTGCCCCTGTGTCCTGTGTCTCGCGACCCATGCCTCCTGCAGTCCTATGGCAATGTGGCCCTCGGAAGGGTCTTTTCTCCTCTCGCGTGTCCTGTCCAATGAAGTCCGACTGCAGGCGCCGACGCCATTGTGCACCGAGACAGACGGTGCCCCGCTCTCGCAGCCGCCAGCGCATTCAGGGAGCCAACCGCCTCGGCGAGCCTCCCATCTCACGAGCAGCAGCACGCCGCGGCAAGAGATGCCCTCCGAGGGCGCAGCGCGCCGGTCCGCAGCGCAGGGCAGCGGAGAGACGTCTCGAGGCAGCGGCTTCTCGACGACGGTCTTGACGCCGCAGCTCGTGTTGGCCTGGCCATCGACGGAGCCTCAGCAGCAACAGAGGGACCCGTCACACCGACGCCAGACGCGGTAGCCGCTCCCCCACAGGGGAAAACGAGAAGGGGCGCTGCCACAGCAAGCGACCTCGCTCATCATGGCTCCTGGGACTCCCTTGCCGGAGCTGCCCTCCTTGTTTTGTTTTGCGTCGCTTCGTGTCCGCCTCAGCCTCCTCCTTCAGCAAACAGTTCATGATCGCTGCCTGGGTCTTCCTCATCTCTGCCATCTCCGCATCGAACTGCACGGTGACCATGCCGCCCGTGGGGCGAAGGCGAAGGCGTGAGGCATGAAGGGGTCCAGGCCGTCGAAATCAGGGTTCCGCGGATTTCGTCGAACAGCTCGCTGGGTCGTCAGAGCCCTTCTCGACGCGAGCTCTGCCGCGGCGACATTCGACAAGCTCAGCTGGTCAAAACTCACCATCATGTGTCCGCTCTCCCACTGTGCTGCTCCTGACCCAGAGCGGATGATACGTGCGGAACTCGTGACCCGAAGCCGCTGCACCCTCGGCGAGCTTCAGCACCGACCTCGACTCCGGGAGGGGGAAACCATTCGCCTGGAGCGACTGCTTCAGCTGTTTGACCGCCTCCCGCAGCGTGATCGACCTCGTCCGAGTGTCGGGGCCCAGGCACACAGGCGGGAAGGGGAAACCATTCGTCTGGAGCGACTGCTTCAGCTGTTTGACCGCCTCCCGCAGCGTGATCGACCTCGTCCGAGTGTCGGGGCCCAGGCGCACAGGGAGCAGCGACCGCCGCGACTCGCACCGCGCAGCTCCTCCTGGGTCCACCCTGGGCTGCGCCTCTGGGCGCAGCTCTCTCGGGCGCAGCCCACTCCCGACCTCGCTCGATCAGGCAGAGCGTGCCTCTGGACACCGCCGTCGCCCCCGCTAGGGGAACTAAAAGTGACACAAACACAAAAACTCGGAGGTCCGCGCGGATTCCTCGGATCGGCGCTGGGGCCCCCCGGCGGCGCCTCCGGCGCCGCCCCTGGCGCGCTCCGCGCGCCAGGGAGGGGGGTCCAGCGCCGATCCGAGAAATCCGCGCGGACCTCCGAGATTTTATGCTTATGTCACTTTTTGTTCCCCTACCTGGCGCTGAGCCAGGGATCCTTTTTGTTGTATGCCACTTTTTGTTTATGCCACTTTTTCGTTCCAAGTTTTTTGTTTGTGCCACTTTTTGTTCCCCTATCCGCGCCGAGCCAGGGATCCTCCGCCTCCGCGCCGAAGCAAGCGCACAGGCCGGGCCAGGCCGGACGTGCACCGAGCCGGCCTCGGGCGCCCGGGCGCGGGAGCCACCGGGCCGCCGAGGCTCTCGGCGAGCGCTCTGCCCTGGGCCCTGAGCCCGGCCACGCTCGCAGGAGCGATGGGGAGGAGGAGGAGGAGGAGGAGGAGGAGGAGGAGGAGGAGGAGGAGGAGGAGGAGGAGGAGGAGGAGGAGGAGGAGGAGGGGGAGGGGGAGGGGGAGGGGGAGGAGGAGGAGGAGGAGGAGGAGGAGGAGGAGGAGGAGGAGGAGGAGGAGGAGGCGCACGCGCTCGCATTAGGGATCCTGCAGCAGCTTGAAGGGTGGAGGGCGGCTCCTCTGCAAGGGGCGGCGCTCGCTTCGGCACCGCGCCCATGCGCCTTGAACGTGTGCAGCAGCTTTAAGGGCAGGGCTGGGCCTGGACGGTGTTTTTGGTGGTTTCGTGGGCCGTTTTCGTTTCGGCTCCGTTCTGCGGTGGAAAGGCGGATCCGAGACAGAAGCGAAGGACAGCGAGAACAAAACGAGAACGAAACACACCGTTTAGGTTCAGCCCTGGCCTTCTAGCGTTCCTTAGTTAGCGTTCCTTGCTTCAGCAGCCCAACTGTAGGCATGCAGGCCCTGCGGGAAAGGAGCGTTTCTCTGCAGAGGGGCGAAGGCGACCACCGCCGCTCGATCTGCCGGATCGACGGCCCTCGCCGAGAAGTCTGGCGTCGACCATGTCCACCGGGAGCCCTCCGACTTTGTGGCCAGCACCCGATGATGGTGAGGCATGGCGTTGTTAGGATTAAGTCGGGCCTGTCCCTCTACAGGGGGAATATTCAAAAATAGTCAACAAATAGTCTGGGGACTATTTTTGATTTTTTTGGGGGACATGTTTGGAGAATCTTTTGAATATTTATTTCGCCCCAAATCCCCCTGTTGGGGGGACAGGCCCGACCTAATGTTAGGATAATGCACGAGGATCTGCCGTTCGGGAACATCCAGACTCATCGTGCCAGCTCAGCTCGCAGACGGCGACTCTCAGGCGTCTCCACGTCCACGAGCGCGGGCACACCGCCCACGGGACGTCGCGAGACTTGCCGACGGCACAAACACGCTGCGCAACCGACGATCACGCAGGCGAGACAGAAACCCGCCAGCACGCCGAGCCAGAAGAACCGAAAGCTCAAGGCCCAGCTGTCACACGGCGTCTCCTGCACCCCTCTCAGGGCCTCTCAAGGGGTAGAAGGCGACGGATTTTCAAATCTCTCACAATCCCGAAACTGGGAGCCGGCGGTAAATTGTCAACCTTGGTTACCGCCGGGAACTCGTAGAGCTTCCTTGCGATATACATGAATGGGATGCGGGCGCGGCCATCTCGCATTCCGCGCGCGCGAGGGCACGGTTTCATGGGAGGACGTGGAGGAGAAGAAGGAGTGAGGAGACGATCTGCGCGATGCGCTCCTCCAGACTCTCCAGTCCTGACGGGCCTGACG